CCGGGGGCGCCCTCCCACCCCCGCAGCCCTCCGCGGGGCCCCGGCGGCCAGGCCTCACCTGCCCGCAGGCCCGGGAGCCGCCCGCCCCCGCCGCCGCCGCCGCCCAGGGCCCGTCCCCGCGGCCGGCGGCGCGTGAAGGTGCGGGGTCCTCGCGGAGGCCTGGGCGGCGCGGCCTGGGGATGGTGGGCCCCTGCGCTTCTGCCGCGGCGAGGGCACCCCCAGAGCAGCCGTGCCCCGGGGCTGCCCCAGCAGGGCGCTTGACAGTGAGCCCTGGCGAAGTTGGGCAGCTGTGAGTCTGCCCGTCGCCGTCAAGTGCCCTTAGGATGCAGCGATTAAGGAATTAGGCTCTCCCTCCGGGAGGGGCACTGCCTGCGCTTGAGAACCCGGTGCAGAGAAAAAGGACAGAACGATGCTGTCCGAGCAAGCCCAAAAGTGGTTTCCTACCCACGTGCAGGTCACAGTGCTCCAAGCCAAAGATCTGAAGCCCAAAGGCAAAAGTGGCACCAATGACACATACACTATAATTCAGCTGGGCAGGGAAAAGTACTCCACCTCTGTAGCCGAGAAAACCCTTGAGCCAGTCTGGAAGGAAGAGGCCTCTTTTGAGCTACCTGGGTTGCTAATGCAGGGGAATCCGGAGAAATACATTCTTTTCCTCATAGTTATGCACAGGTCCCTGGTGGGTCTGGATAAATTTTTAGGGCAGGTGGCAATCAATCTCAATGACATCTTTGAGGACAAACAAAGAAGGAAAACAGAGTAAGTTATATAATTTATTTTGAATTTGGGGGGAGATGGTATCTTATTTATGGATTTTCTGTTCTTGGAAATTATTTGTGTAACTGGGGCGTTGGTGTTCGGACTGAAACATGACCTAGTTTTGGGCACCACATTTGCACACATCTGAAGTCGAAGTAGCCCTTGTGAAGAAATATTTTTTAAATGGAGTCGTTAAGGATCCGTTACTCTCATTTTGCGTTTAAGGGAAACATCTTAAATAATTGAATATTTTGCATTGAATTGTAAGTAAATTGACATTGTTTCACTACTCCTCGGAGGACTGGATCCCAGTGTTGACCAACTAAAACTTCATGTATGTGTAAATTGTTCTAATCATTAAACATTACAATTTTCCAGGAATTGGAACATCAGAAAATTAAGTCTTCAATATCAGGTCACATATTGAACTCTGTCAGAAGATAAATGACCACATTTAGAGCTCAGTATTTCATTGCAGCTTTATAAACTTGGCCTTTATTTTAGCTCAACCATCTTTCAGGGTCAGGACAGCTTGATGGAGTCTAAAGCCGTTACAAGAAAAAAAAAAATGAAAACTATGTACAAATATTCTCAACCTTCAATAGACACTAACATTTTTCTTTGAATTTACAACGTATTGGAGGGAGTGTATTACTTCAGAATTAGTTCTGTAAAGTCGGCATGTTTAGACTATGTGGAATGTTCTCAGATTGGAGACAAGGGTTCAGTTCTGATGAAGTGATTTGATGACCTTTTCAATACAAACATGACCTCTTACCTGTGACTTTCAAGCTTAGAGTAGATATGTTCTCATTTAAAAAAAAGGATAATATAATTTAACATTGGATGTTATGTCTCAAGTCGAAAAATAGTAAATTTCCAGAGATAGGTGTACTCACCCTTTCTTAAGCCTATAATTAATTATTCTGGTCTGAGAGACCCTTAAGATTAATGGAATTAATGAGAGAAAAATACAGGTTGAATTTATAACAGGACTTCAAGTTTCCGAAGCAGCTTTGGTGTTTCTTTCAGTCATAACTGTAATTTATTTGCCCTTTTAAAAACTTTTTATAAGTGTAACTTTCTTGAGGTTCGTGTTAATTTCTTACATTTTTAGAACAACCGTGTCTTATTATTTTCTGTACATATCTTCCTGCAGCCTTCTCCTGGTTGCAGTTTTTATTTTTATTAAAAAACGTCTTTTAAATCGGAACTGTATGTAAGATTTAATATACGACAGGGTAAAAGGGTAGAGGGATAAGTATTGGGAATGCATGAGGGAAAATGGTAAACGTTTAAGCTCACCAAGAGATAACAGTATTTTAAGAAAAAGAAAGGGCTTAAAAAATGTAAAGTTGAATATATATCAGTGATGTTGGTCACTGTTTCATTCCTACAAAGTGGTATTCAGTTTCCCCTGAGGAGTTCTTCATCAAATTTAAACTGGAAAAAAAAAGTGGATAATTAGCAAATAATTTGTTTCAAATCACCAACTTTGGATGACACTCACTCTATAATATTTAAAGTGCTTTGAATGTAAACTTTTAAGCATATTATAACTTGAAATATTATGCTGCACTTTGGGCACTTTTTAGGTTATCGAATGATGTATTTCAGGCCTTCTCTCCAATAGAAGTTTTCTGAGTGAAAGTAGGCCCAGCTGTGAATTCGGAAACTCAGAGGATGAACTAAGCTTTTAAAGTTCCTTCTTGTTGGACTCTTTATCTTTGTCAGCATCCGAATGACAATAAATTTGGTCATAAGCAACACTCTCTTATCGTAGTCTCCCTACGGGAATTCTCTATTGGCCACTACATAAAACTGATAAGAACTTTTAGGGGGAAAACGCTTTTAAATGTTATCAACAGGGCTTGTGATGTTTATTGCATGTGAAGCGATTTTCATATGTTATTAAATCCCATTTTCTTTGTGGATAAATGAGGACCACATATTTGATGAGATATCTTTATTGGTAATATTTCTGGGTTTTTAATATATTTAATAGCTTCCTTTTGCAGCACAGCTGTGCACGTGGCACAGTGAGCAATGAACTTGAGCCACCGGTGTATTGCAAGAAAGATATTTAATATTCTGCACAGTGCTGAGCCTTGTCGGCCTATCCCCAAGTGCTTTTTAGAAAACCAGTATGAGTGATGAAGGCCACCAGCTGATTTAGAAGTCCCACGAAGCTGCTGGGTGTGACACTTTTTACTCTCGACGCTGAAGACAAGTATTTACAGCTTGTCTTCCAATTGTGTCATGATAGGGAGAGAAGCATGAAGGCTAAAACTCTTATTTTGCTTATTTTTATGATTTGAAATTAAATGCCCCCCCCTTTTTTTTTTTTTTTCTTTTTTCTTTTCTTCTCTTCTCTTCTCCTGTCCGGAGAGGGAAAGGGCCTGAGCCAGAACACTTTGAGTGGGGCACGGAAAGAGAACTTCTGTATCTCCCACTTTTATGAGTGTCTGGGTTGGTTCTGGCACAAGATTTAAGGAAATAATACAATGTTTAATAATAGAATGGTAAAATCGTTCATGCTGTTATGTAATATCTATTGATTTTTTTTTTTTTTTTTTTTTTTTTTTTTTTTTTTTTTTTAATGCTCATGAAAAGTAATAACAATCAGAGTCCCTCGAGTTAGGTATGACTCAAACACATGCAGATTTTAGGACTTTTGTGTGAGTCTGCAGTGCACCTGTGTCCTGGCCTCTGGCACCCTTCCTGCCAATCTTGTCCCGTTTCTGACCACACAGCACCGATTGCTTGGGAATAGTTCCCACATGTGTGGTGGCTTTTGAACATGGGCCTGTGCCCGCTAAAAATTGAACAGAGGCCAGACGCAGTTGAAACCCGGTACTCCAGAGGTGAAAAAAATCAGCATTAATCCACTAAGCCCCAAATGATGTGTCTTCATTTTATCTTTCTGAAGCCTGGGAAAATAAGTACTATCTCTGGAATGATTCTTGAAGGTCTCATTAAGACTTCTTCCCCATTATATCACTTTCAAAACAAAGCAGCTGAAGTTATTTGTCATGCCTAAATTTTAAGTTTACGTATTCGTTGAAAGTGCTTTGCAGTTTTCTCCTTGGGGTGGGGTGGGGGGAGGATGGAAAATATACTGTATTTACAGTTTGTATTCAAATACCGACTTGCTTGATCCTTCAAAGCTTACCTAAGTCTTTAGTGTTCCCTACCATAAAATAAAACAATGCAACACACGCACGGAATTATAGCTCGGTTGTGTTAAAAATAGAGTTTTAGAAAGAGTATTCAGTAAACATTTATTGAGTGCAAGGCAGACTCTTCAAGTAGCTTACCCTTTAGCAGTAGAAAACCTGTGCTGCCTTCCTCTTTGGCTGTCACTGTCTCTTGATTAAATAGAGTGTTCTATAACATGTGACCAGCCCTGCCTTTAATGTTACTAACATATGTGGTTCATCACATAGGAAAGAGCAACTGTTTTCATGCACATGTTGTTCATCCACTTGGATATTTTCCTTATTGAACTTTAATCTGACATTGGGAAGTTACTTACCGTTTGTGCCTCAATTTCCTCATCTGTGAAAAGCAGATGTTAAATTAGATGATTGGTTTGGCCTTATCTCTGAAATTCAGTGAGTTTCGATTACTTCTACCCTCTTCCATTTATTGGGTTATTGGTTTATTGGTTTTTTGTTGTTTTTTTTTTTCCCAGATTTGCTTTGATTTGTTATATACATGAAAGTCCTACATGCGTAGGTTTTTTGTTTTGTTTTTGGTATGTTTCTTGCAAAGTGTATTTCACTTATTTTGTGTAAAGCCTAAAATGGTACAGAATATTTCCCATGTACCCTCCGTCAGAAGCATTTCTCCCCTATTTAAAATGGCTTTATGATCCCAAACTGGGAATTAATAACTGGGTATATAACCTTGTTTTATTACCAAGCTTTTCAAGTGCTAAGTTCTGTATTGTTCAAGGTTTTCTATTCCACAGAGTTTATTGCTGTCATTTCTTATTTCTAGTCCCTGTGTCTTCAGATTTCACCATTGGCCTCAAGGGCTTTTCTCAGTTTAGGGTCTCTGATTAAGGCTTTCTGTTATAAAATATTTTATTTTAATAAATTGCTTGCTTTGATGCAACTAAATCTTAATTGATTGAAATGCCTCAAATTAACGAAGAAAATATTTCTCTTGTGCGCTGCTTGCTAAGATGTGGCTGGTATATACGCTATGTGCTAATTTCCTCTCCTGCCTGGAAAGACCCGTGAACCAGTCTTCACTTGGTGTATGGTAAACATAAGCTTCTTCTTGGGTATCTTCTTAGTAACAAGGAGAGAAAGTACTAATGTAAACTTAGATCAGAGTTCCTTTGTAGCTAAGAAAATGTGTTACACTTTATTAGAGCTGTATTTAAGTACTAACCTGTGTGCAGTTTATGCTTCATTGTTAAGTAATGGGAAAACACTGTAGAAACTTTCTTCTAGGCTCGATTTTGCAAATTTTTTTCTTTTTCTTTTTCTTTTGGCTGTTTTCCCTATAGAATGACCACTTGTAACACTGACAACTGAAGACTTTCTCATGGATAAAAGTACTGTGAACAAAACCAAAATAAACTTTGCCTCTTATCCAGTAGCCCCTCTTATCCACGAGGCATCCGTTCCAAGACCCCAGTGGTTGCCTAAAAGTGTGGCTGGTACCCCACCCTAGATACACTATGTTTTTCCCTATATATGTGTGCCTGTCATAAAGTTTAACTTATAAATTAGGCACAGTAAGAAATTCATAATACAACAGAACAGTTGTAACATATGCTATAATAAGAGTAACGCGAATGGGGTCTCTCTCTTCACATCTCTTACTGTCCTGTAATCATCCTTCTTGTGATCATGTGAGATGATAAAATGCCTCCGGATTGAGACGAAGTGGGGTGAGTGATGTAGGCTTCGTGACCTAGCATGAGGCTACCGCCGACCTTCTGAGGAAGTACCAGAAGGATCATCTTCTTCCAGAAGCCGGTTGACCACTGGTAACAAGCCGTGGAAAGTGAAACCGCGGATAAGGGCGACTCCTGTAACGTCATTTGAGAACAGGCAGTGCAATTCGGCGAACTGACTAAAAGCAGAAGATTTGGCCCCAATTAAGGGAATTTTTATTTGGTATTGTTACAGTGGCAATAGCAAATGAAGCAAGTCCATTCTAACAGGAAGCATTTAGGCTTTCTCTTTTCTTCAAAACCCTTACAAGAGTTATTACTAATTGTCGCTTCCTACGTTTTGCACATTTTTCAGATTTTATTCAGGAGAAGGCTTTGACCCACTTCACATGGATCTAAATTCACATCACATGTAATTTTCATGATTAGCAAACTCCAGTGCAGTGGTCTCCAATATCAACAACATTCTTTTAGTAGTTTTTAGAGAAGAAATATTTGGGGGTTGGGGCTAAATATGTATTTGTTAAAAAAATGTGATCCTTTATCATTTTATAGTGCTCAAGAGTAGTTTGTATTGATGAATTCTTTCAGTAGTCCTCAGTGTCTTTTAACCTTCAACAGTGTTCTTGGGCCACTAGCAACATTTACTTCAGATGGACACATAATCACTGTCATGCTTAGAGTGCCTTGATTTGTAATAATAGCTTAGCCTGAAAAGCTATTTGTACATAACAAGCACATATCCTCTCTTTGTTACATGTTACAACCCAGTTTTTTTTTTTTTTTCCTTCTCTTTAAGGTGGTTTAGATTAGAATCCAAACAAGGAAAAAGAGCCAAAAACAGGGGTGAGATAAAGGTCAATATTCAATTCATGAGGAACAATATGACAGCAAGTATGTTTGACTTATCAATGAAGGACAAAACAAGGTCTCCTTTTGCAAAATTAAAAGATAAGATGAAAGGTAGAAAAAACGATGGGACATTTTCTGATACGTCTTCTGCCATCATTCCAAGTTCTCACATGCCCGATGCCAGTACTGAATTTTCAAGTGGTGAAATGCAGATGAAATCCAAACCAAAAAAGCCTTTCCTTTTGGGTCCTCAGCGACTCTCTTCGGCACATTCGATGTCTGATCTGACTGGGACCCACATATCTTCTGAGAAGCTGAAGTCTGGCACCGCTGGTCAGACACATCTTCTTGGACGCCAGATAGATTCCTTCGGAGCGGTTCCGGAAAGTGGTAAGTGACACTTTCTAATCGTAGCCTCAGTGATCTGAACTACCCTTTTAATTTTCAGAGTTTCACTTAGAAAATTAGAAAATTAAAAATTGCAACTTCTTGATAGTTTTCAAGTTTAGTTATCAAATCTTTGTTGAGTGCTGACTATCCTCAAAATTGATGTTTATTAAAGGCAGAACTTGTCTGCATTCAGCATTGTGGTTATATTAAGTGATAACAAAAATAAGTCCCAGTTGCTTTTCAAAGCCTGGATTCTCTTTCTCTCTCTCTTTTTTTTTTTCTTAATTGCTGTTTCTTCAGTCTCGGAAGCCTGAGACATAAATGGATATTCCATTTAATCAGAAAGTTCCTAGAAGAAAAACCTTGCGTGTGCAGGAGTAGGAAAGTATATTTAATGCTAATGATGAAAAACGTCTTTGAGAATTTATAGCACCATCATGCCCACCAGAACCTCTGGTTTTGACATTCTAGTGTGTTTATATGATTGTTTCTTTCTGAGCTGAGTAAATTACTGATTGTCTAGCAATATGCTAATTATTAATAGCCTGCCTACTTCAGACCGCTATACTTTAGCATTTTAAGATTGTTTTCCTTGATTATTTTAAAGGTTAATATCTTTAAATAGCTAATTGCTCTCATTCTAAAAGCAGCAGTGTGCACACAGAATCTGTCAAGTAGCATGATGCAATGTGTCACTGATTATGTACTAACTACAAAATTGTTTGCAGGAAGTCTCAAATCTCCACACAGAAGAACATTAAGCTTTGATACTTCTAAAATGAACCAACCTGACAGCAGTGTGGATGAAGGTGACTCGTCTTTCGGAAGACAAAATGACCCATTTACAAATGTGACTGCTTCATTACCCCAAAAATTTGCAACACTGCCAAGGAAGAAAAATCCATTTGAAGAAAGCAGTGAATCCTGGGACAGCAGCATGAATTTATTTTCAAAACCAGTTGAAGTAAGGAAAGAAAATAAAAGGGAGAAAAGGGAGAAAGTTAGCCTGTTTGAAAGAGTGACTGGAAAAAAAGATAGCAGAAGATCTGATAAACTTAACAATGGGGGATCTGATAGCCCTTGTGACTTGAAATCACCCAATGCATTTAGTGAAAATCGTCAGGACTATTTCGATTATGAGTCAACTAATCCGTTTACAGCAAAATTCAGGGCTTCAAATATAATGCCATCTTCAAGGTAAGCCTAACATGGGGGAAGTTGGGCTATTTTGAAAAATAGCGTCCTTAAAGTATCAACTATCCCTTTAAAAATACTTGAATGTTTTATTTGACTTGAACAAAATTCTTATCTTATTTTTATAATTAATTATGGAGCCAGGAATCATTGCATACATCTTTGGAATTGAACTTTTTATCTTAGAAGGATAAAAGATTCTTAATCCCTACCCTAGTCTATTTTCTACTTATGTGAGCCAGAAACTCAACTGAAACTTGTGAAGAGAGCAGCATAGCTTTTGATGAGACATGGTGAGAGTGAATCACCAGTGGGTGTTCATTTAAGCCAGAAATTTAGGTGATATGTTGTGTTTCTAGATATTATTTTCCAGGGATTAGTTCCTGGGCTCTCTGGAGAGGATTAGTGGACCATAGCAACCCGTGGGCTATTCTCTAAGAGTAGCTGGCTCATGTTAGGTCTTACTGGTTTTCATAGTAGGTGTCACCTGCCTTTAACAAGTGGCTCTTTAGAAGTAGCTTTGCTTTGTGACTGTTTACTGGAATTTTGTGACCCTTGTGGGTACTGTAAATATATCAAAGTGCATCTATATGATGATTTGTAGGCATGGGAATGCTCACTCTCATGGTAATGATAAAGATTAGGTTTTCAAAATCTGAGTTCTCAGTTATGCATATAACGGTACTTTTCTTATTCCTTAGTACAAGTTGGAACTGCGAATATACCTTTAAATGAGATTATGGATTTTGCAGAAGTACACCGTGGAACAGCTGATTAAAGAAACCTTAAGCAAAGACTAAGATGAATGTATTGGAATCCTAAGCAATTATAGAATAGTATCGTAGAGTGTCTGCCATGGGAAATAGAAGTTTTTCCTCAAGGCAGTAATGTCTAGAATGCAGACCGGAGCGGGAACCCTGGCTCGCTACCTCTGTGACCTCTATAAACCTCATCATCTCCATCTTTGAAACAAGGAAAAGAATACCTACCTGGTAGGACTGGGTGATGATAAGTTACAAATCAAGTACATGGTATAAAGCCAGGGCCCAGATAGGGAACCCGTGAACGGTAGCTGTTATTATGTTTTATATACTGTCATATCATACTTTATTCAAAAGCAGTGCTTTGTTTTGTCCCACTAGAAGCGAAAAATACAGTGCTAACAAGCACCCGTTTAGACCATGCTCTCCCACCTGTCTTCCGATCTCCTAATGACACGTTAAAGCAGGCATTTAACATTTTCACGGGAAACGTGTTTCTTTCGTTTTCTTTTAGCAATAAATATTTGCCATGGCTTTAAAAAGTATTGTTCGGTTTTCTTTATAAACTACACTCCAAAGAAATACATTTTTATCATGTGGTATTAATGTTTTATTGAGTCCGTAGTTTTGTTATGCCGCTCTCAAATATTTCATTTTGGGATTTTACATAGTATATTGCATATATTAAGTCCTAAATTACAGGGGTAAATAGGAATATATTTGCTTCTCCCCACTTTCACTGAACTTCTTTTTATGAAGAAGATAATTAAAAACAACTGTCTGAGATAACTTAGAGATTGGATAATTTATATAATTTTAGAGTCAAAAAAAAGCAAGAAAAATGGGAAATGATAGGAAAATAAGGTTTTTAAATTATGGCAGCGTATGGAAAAATAAGTGTCCTCAGCTCTTTAATTGCCCTTCACTTGGGCTGTTCACATGGACTGCCACAGATTTGAAAAGTGAGTGTGGCATTTTGCCCGATTCAGGCTTTGTTTGGGCGATTTCAGTACGAGTGCTATTTCTATCAGAATTAGAGTTGTTTCTTGATATATGCATAAAACGCTCGCAAGCATTTAAAAAAAAAACAAAAAAACAAGATTTAAAAATTTTATTTCTCTTCTCCCTATTCTTTGGGATGTCAGGTATGAGGATAACAACCATCCAGGTTCCTGGGAAGTTAACCTTTCATCTGTGTACAAACCATGTTTGTGGTAAATGTAACACATTTGGAATAAAAGGGTTGCGGGTTGCTCTAATTTATAGTGTAAAGAAGGAGGATCGACTATAAATAGATCTTGGAAAAGAAAGCAGTTCAAACTTCCAGAAAGCAGCTTTATCTTGAGTGGAATTTGGAGAATACGGTCAAGGTAGTTATGTCGTTACGTAACAGTATGTTCCTGTTTCTCGTCCCGACATCAGCCGTCAGTGATAGGAGACATTTTAGATTGTTCACATTAATATCTCCACCGAAGGCCCTTTTGAAGCTATGGACTCCTATCACTAGGACGTGTGCTGCAGGTTATTTTTTTCCAGTTGTGCTAAATCGATGTGTGTAGAGTCTCCTGGACTCTTGGGACTAGTGTCTGCGAGAATGCTGAGCAAAGTTGAGGGTAAACTGGGTAGCTGTGGAACTGGATCGTGTTCTTTGTGGTGTCTCTGGCTCACCTGTGATGGCAGGTGCAGGGAGGCCGTGGTATTGCCCTGCGTGTGCATAGCGTAGATTAAAACTGGAAAGGACCAAGGAACACTTTCTTAGACATCAGTTTTTCTTAGTAAAAAGTGAAATCCACCTGAAGAAAGCACCTTGTAAACCACAAATATGGTATTTTGCTTCTGTTCTTGGAATAGGTCCTACAGTCTTGCATCAAACTGATAGGAGAAATGAATCAGGCTTTTTGTGGGATTACTCCAACAGAGAACGGGGGTTCTACGCTTGTCCTCGCAGTCACTAACTTGCAGTCTCTTTCATCTCCCTGCCCCTCTTCTCGGAAGCCCGGCCTGCTCTTTCTAGGGAGGTGGAGAGGGTAATTGATCCGTGTGCTGCAGCGTTTTCTTACGTAAGTCTTCCTTTCTACGGGCCTCCCATCGTTCACTGATACAGGCTGCTCACTGTTTTCCCTCCTGCCGCCGTGGACAACTTGAGGGCAGTGCCCACATGGCATTCGTGTTTCTGCCCCGAGTCTCCAGCCTGATGCTTGGCAGGTAGCAGGTGTTAGAAAAAAACATTTTTGAATGAATGAATACAAAGCTTGGCAGACCAGTTTCCTAAAATGTGCTTTTATTCCTTCAGTCTCCTCTTCCAGCCCAGGGTGGGCTGCAGAGATCGAGATCTTCTGGGACGTGGAAGACAGAGCCACAAAGGCAGATACGTGCATTTTTTGTGTACAACTAAGCATTATTCAGAATCTGAGTGTGTTTAAAGGACTCCTGAAATGTAATATTCATACCCTGAATAGCACATTTTCTGGAGTTTCTTAAGAAACCAGTGTTAGGCAAGTTACCAGCTGTAATGTAATAACCCCAGATTTCAGTGGCTTATCACCTATCACGGTACAAGCATACAGCTCCGTGTCGTTGCCTCCTGACTCACGATGCCAGGGACGAGGGAAGCCAGTGTTTTGCTCCCTGCAGCCATTCAGCGCCATCCTAGTATTCTGGAACCAGGCTCCTCCTTTCTTGTGCCACCATTTACCACCTTGTCTCCAAGGTCAGGCGGCAGGCAAAGCGAGCGGAGGCCCCCACGCAGCACGCTTTCATGTGCCGGGCCTGGCCGTGCTGTACGTCACTTCTGCAGATGTCCCCTTGGCCAGAGCGCAGTCACGTCCCAGCCTCAGTGCAGCCAGTGAAGAAATCGGGCTCAGCGATGGACCCGGAAGAAGCTGAATGGGGTGCGGTGAGTACACCGCATTGACTTTGTGGTCTGTGCCACTTCTGAAAAGTCTGGATGCCGTTGAACGCTTGGCATGCTGCAAAGCGCCTACTGCACGTGGACTGGAAGGTGTAGTTGGAATTCTTGTCATTTTCAGGAAGATGTTTCATCCCTTTATGATGGGTATCGAGTTATCTGTGATTTAAAACTGCTACGCTTGCTTTTTTTAATTATAAATCACAGGTGCTTTGGCATCATCAGCATCAACTAATGTGTTGTGTGGTTAACTCCACAATTCGTAAAGTCGTGCCTGTTTGCATCAGCAGTATATAATTTTCCGAAAACAAAAAACCCCTGCGTGTTCGTTGCACCATTTTTAAATAATCTGTTCACAGCCATTTCTTCTATAACACTGGGCCGGTCTTCCAGTGGAACGTGGAAGCGGTGGGTGTGTTCAGCACACATGATGCCCTTTCTTTTCAGACGGACACAGACCCTTAGTTAGGTGGGGACATGTGACGAAGTTCTGGCTTAATGAAGAGTTAGCCGAAGAGATGTCGACCATCTTCAGGTCTGTTCGTGAAAACGTACTGGATGGTCATCACTGTTGCCTCTCTTCCTCACTACCTTAGACCTGGGCGTTGGCAAACAAGGCTCGGGGGCCAAGTCTGGCTCGCTGCCTATTTTTGTAAGGAATGTTTCAGTGGAGCACAGCCTACCCGTTGGTTTATGGGTACTTTTGTGCTACAGTGGTAGAGTCAAGTAGTTGTAACAGAGGCTGTATGGCCAGGAAGGCCAAAGCCGAAGGTATTTATTATTTGGCAGTTTACTGAACTAGTTGGCGGAGCCCCAGGCTAACTGAGTGGAGATCTTTGAGAAGGGCAGAGCCATAAGAGAGGGGCAGCCTGTGTCCCTGAACGCGTGTGGAAGGCCACCTAACGAAGCATAGCTAGTTAAACCTTGTCTGAATGATACATCCTCAGAATATTAAGTGAACTGCAGTTTTTGCATTTACTTCTCACAACCCTTAGCACTATTATTAATCGTTAGGGCACAGGGGCCATGGTAACTTAGGTGTGCTCAAAAAGCCTAGTTGAAAAAAGTTGTAAGAACCACTGATTTGTAACACCAGACGCAGACTTCCTAAGCTACCTAAGCTTCGTAACAGCTATGCTGAATTCTTCTTTTGTGGGTGCCCCATAGCACCTACATCGGTGCACATCCTTAGTGCTGATCATCAGGGGCTCCTAGGGACTTCTTTTCAACTTACAGTTTGTTGGGTCCTATCTCAAACTGAGTTAGAATCTTTAGTGGAATGGGCCCTGAAATAAAAATCAACATTTTTGAGACTTAACCACTGATTCTCAGTC